CCATGACATATAAAAATTGTAGGTCAATGAGTTTTCTTTCAAATTCCACCAACTTTGTATCATCTAATGTTTAAAGTAAATCATTATGACCATTTTACCAGAGACTATAGTATATGTAAATAAGAGAAACTTCGAACGTTTATAATTTTGGCTTGAGATGTTCGTATCAGGTTTAGAAAAACTGTATTTCACGGTCCATACCTTATTTGAACTTATAAATATCTATAATTACCCATTAGAACTAACACACATAATTTATTAAATTATCACAAACACCCACAAAAATGTTTGGTCAAAAAATTACATGCAATCAATGTGTGCCTCTCTAGAAGGCAAACAATATACACTACAATATTATTTAATACGTATTGAATTAGGTGATCCATCATAAATGAAAATGTAGATCAATGATTTTTCTTTCAAATGCCACATATTTTGTATCATTTAATGTTTAAAGTAAAGTATTATGACCATTTTACCAGAGACTAGTGTAGTTGTACATAAGAGAAACTACTAACGTTCATAATTTTGGCTTTAGATGTTCATTTCAGATATAGAAAAACTTTATTACACGGTCCATACCTTATTTAAATTTATAAATACCTATATTTACCCATTATAACTAACACACATAATTTATTAAATTATCACAAACACCCACAAAAATGTTTGGTCAAAAAATTACATGCAATCAATGTGTGCCTCTCTAGAAGGCAAACAATATACACTACAATATTATTTAATACGTATTGAATTAGGTGATCCATCATAAATGAAAAGATCAATGAGTTTTCTTTCAAATGTCACACATTTTTTATAATTTAATGTTTAAAATAGAACATTATGACCATTTTACCAGAGACTAGTGTAGTTGTACATAAGAGAAACTACGAACGTTCATAATTTTGGCTTTAGATGTCCATTTGAGATATAGAAAAACTTTATCACACGGTCCATACCTTATTTGAACTGATAAATACCTATGTTTACCCATTATAATTAACACACATAATTTATTAAATCATCACAAACACCTACAAAAATTTTTGGCCAAAAGACTAAATGCAATCAATGTGTGCCTTTCTAGAAAGCAACCAAGGTACACTAACATATCATTTAGTACGTAATGAATTAGGTGAGCCATGAGAGATAAAATTATAGATCAATGAGTTTTCTTTCAAATACCACACATTTTGTATAATTTAATGTTTCAAATAGAGCATTATGACTATTTTACCAGAGACTAGTGTAGTTGTAAATCAGAGAAACTTTGAACGTTCAGAATATTGTCTTTAGATGTTCATTTCGGTATAAGAAACTCTATTTCACGGTCCATACCTCATTTGAAGTTATAAATATTTATAATTACCCATTAGAACTAACACACAAAATTTATTAAATCATTATACACACCCACAAAAAAATTTGGTAAAAAAACTACATGCAATCAACGTATGCCTATATAGAAGGAAAACAATGTATACTGCTATATCCTTTAGTATGTAATGAATTAGTTGAGCAATGATAGATGAAATTATTGGTCAATGAGTTTTATTTAAAATTACCCCAATTTTGTATCATTTAATGTTTAAAGTAAGCATTATGACCATTTTGCCAGAGACTAGTGTAGTTGTAAATAATAGAAACTTTGAACGTTCAAAATTTTAGCATTAGATATTCGTTTTAGGTATAGAAAAATTCTATATCACGGTTCGTACCTCATTTGAACTTATAAATATCTATAAATACCCATTAGAGCTAACACACATAGTTTATTAACTCATCACAAACACCCACAAAAAGTTTTGGTCGAAAAACTACACGCAATCAATGTGTGTCTCTTTAGAAGATAAACAATATATACTACCATATCTTTTAGTACACAATAAATTTGGGGAGCGATGATAGATGTAAATGTAAGTTAATGAGTTTTCTTTCAAATCCCACCAATTT